AGAGAGAGAGAGAGAGAGATGGAGAGAGAGGAGAGAGAGAGAGAGAGAGAGAGGAGAGAGATGAGAGAGAGAGAGAGAGGTGAGGAAGGAGGATTGGAGAGGGATGGGAGGAAAAGGAGAGGGGATAAAGGGAAAGAAGAAGAAGGAAAGGGGAGAAATGAGAAAAACAGTAGGGGATACGAGGGAAGAGGAATGATTGAGAAGAGGAATGGGAGGTAAAATTGGGGTAGAAGTAGTAGACTGTAGAGATAAGAGGAGTTAGGAGGAAGGAAGAAGAGAAAGGACAGGGGGGATAGAGGGAGGTGGAAGAGACGATGATAGCAGTTAGCACGGAAAGGGAGAGGAATGAGCTGAAAGGAAGGGAAGGAAATGTTCGAAAGACTGAAGATATGCCGAAGCCTTTCAGCTGACGTAACTATTAGTGAGGATGTGCATGCTTATTATTTGATATTTCAGGTTATAAGAAGTGCTATTGATTATACTGACTTATGCCATGTTTCAAGGAAAAACGTTGAAATTAGATCACGAACTGTCGAGGAACTCGAACGAGCCGCTGCGCAGCCAACGCTCTTTATTTTGTCCTTATTGATTTCCGACGGTTTTTATATGTCTTCTAAGTTGTCAGATTTGCTTCATCGATTACTAAAGATGAACGATAAACTAATTCGGTTCGGTCCTGTCTACATTTACTATTTCAGGGAGTGTCGTTAGGATATAGATAATATTTCACGACGGGATAATTCAATGTTTTGACTGTCGTCCCATTTCCCTTATGCATTCCGCTATATGGGTGCTATTTGTCCATGAATGTATGCTATTTGAATGCATGCTATTTTGTCCATGAATTTGTACATCCTATGACGTCATCGTCTGTTCCCAGGCGGAAGACGGAGACTCGGGATCGAACAGCAAACTTACCTACCGGCTTGAGGGAGGGGGAAAATGGTCCGGTCATTTCTCCATCAACCGAGATACAGGTAAACCAGAGAGCATTGATGCATGATCTCGGATACCGTGATACAGGTAAAGCGGAGAGCAGTGATACATGACCTTTATACCGTTTTTTTACCGTTTATATATAGACCTTAATGATCTCGGATACCGTGATACAGGTAAAGCAGAGATCATTGATGCATGCTCTCTGATACCCTGTTACAGGTAAATCAGAGAGCATTGATCCGAATACGAGACACAGGCATGGTTACGGATATATGATGACCAGTCAGGTAACTGAGCTATGACCATTGATGCGTAAACAGAACACAGGTAAATGAAACATGGCAATGCAGGTAGATAAGACACCATTGAGATACGGAACACAAACAAATAAGGCGTTATCAGGAAATTATCAACGTGATTACACATAATAGTAAAACACAGGTGCATTGCTTGACCATATTAGAGTAACACGAAACATACCTACCACCTGCGCCTTCACCCAAAGTTTCACGTAAATGGTGCGAACTAGGGTTACCCGCGTGCTCCGCAACGCGAAGAAGGGTTGTTTTTGACCCGTGGGTATTGTATTGGTCTGTGTCGATTTGGTTGGTATCCATTTCGTTCGATTGCTCTTTGACGGCCAAGCATTTTGTAATAAAATAAAAAAGATACATCGCATCGAGGTGCCCGTGTCGTATTATCATGCGTTCTACATGATTCGAAAACTGGCATGAAGTCTTTTGAGGGCCATCGATGAATTTCGCTAAAAATGACAATGTAATGGTTTGGAACATTTATATTTTTAAGAATACTGTTGCTCATTATGCAAAAATTAAGAGTGAATATTGGACAGAATTGAATGCTCTATCCAATGGTACCATATTCAATTGCCAAAGGTATCAGGTTATGCAGCAAACCCCGTGTGATTAATAAAGTGGCACAAAATTGACAAACACCATTTTCTCCTGTGATTTGCACCACCTTGATTTGGATCAATCAGCTTTTCACAATTTTTATATGAGAGGCGGTACCTTTCTCTTGCAAATAGGCGTTGATTCAACTCGCTCCAATTAACGGTCACCTAAAAATAAAATTAATTCCAAAATCCCTCAAAAACCGCAATTTTTCAAATAAAAGTGCCCTCTCCGATGCGCGTGGCGCGTGCTATCCTCTGCATTGCACACCATTCAATAGCCCGTTCAATTCTGTACACGATGCTGTTTTCCTCGTGCCGGTCGGACCCCTGGTCACCAAGATATTGCACGCGAACTGGACCCGTGTCGGTCAAAATTAGCCGTTTTCGCCCGATTTCGCACGCCGATTTATGCATGTAAAGTCTATGACGCGAATTTGCACTTTTTGAGCACGCGCCACGCGCTCCCTATCAATCCGATCGAGCTGAGACCCCTCAAAGGCACGTCGCGCATCCTTGATCTATAAGTTGTGCAAATTTCACCGGGCTAGGTGCAACGGTCTGGCCTGTAGTCCACGCAAAGCACCACCAAGTCGGGACCTCGGTAACGGACAGACGCACCCTCCTCAAATAGTAATATAGATAAACAAAACGAGTGAGCAGCAAAGAAGAGGTATCACTATGCAATGAGACTGCTATCAATTTTCACACTTGACTTTTCAACTCCTCGACAAGCAAAATGCATTCAAGTTTGCTACTGTATGAATGGAGGGCATTTTTTTTTTACCTCCTATGCCCTCTGTGTCCTGGATCCACGTCCACACGCGGGTGCTGCGGTTTGCGCTCTGTATTTTCCACACTCGATCCGGCCGCCCGCCACCGTGACCCCGCTGACCTCTGACGTCACAGACGGTCAGCCGGTCAGCACGTGCCCCGTGTGGGCACAGCCCAGCACATCTCCCTTTTCCCATTCGCTCCATACACCACAATCATTTAACCCGCGACCTGGTGGGGGGGGGGGGGCTATTTTTGCCCCCCCCTCCAGACTTTTCGATATATCTCCAGAACCGCTGCGCCGATCGTCACCAAACTTTCAGTACCCTCCCGGACATCAATTTTACACATTGTGACCAAAAATTTTTCCAAAAGCTATGATAGGTTGGCCGGAAATGACGTCAGAGTGACGTCATGTTCTGCCGTTTTCGACCCAAAAAAGGGTTTCGCGGGAAGAGCTGTCAGGCCTATAGCTTTGCAAATACAGAAAAATGTTTAGGACATAAAAGCTGTAGAATTGACAGGGCTACAAAACTGCTATCTCGGATCTTTGAATTTTTTTATTTTGACCCCCAAAAATCAAAAAATAGATTTTTGGGATATAATAGTAAAAAAATCCAAAAAGTTTTTTGAATTTCGCAAAAAACCGGAATATATGTGATAGTCCTTACCGCCTTCCGTCCACATACCAAATTTTAGATTGATACCTCTTTTTTTTGGCGAAGTTATAGCGAAAAACTGTTCAAAATTGATGACGTCAAATTTTCAAACTCAATTTTTAGCAATTCTAGACCTCGTAGTGCAAAACAAAGACCACCATTAGACTCCCCGTGACGAGCTGCATCGAATCGATACCCATTTTATGCAAAAATATCAACTTTGAAATTTGACCTTTTTTGACCTGACCTTGACCTGACCTCCACCAGAAAGTGACCTAAACCGTACCTGATGGTCTTATAACCAACACCATTGGGTTGGAAATGAAAAACTGGCCATAAAACATGCATCGCACAACCTTAGTAAAGTTGGGTCCATGTGGTGACCCTTGGTGACCTTTGGTGACCTGACCTGTGACCTGACCTGGTATGACCAGTGACCTCTAATAGCAACATATGTACTAGACAACTGACGTCTTATCGCTGATTTTCGACAAAATGCGTTTTACTCGGTGTTATAGCGCTTTCCCTAGAAGCCCCGTGAACGGTGAAACATTTTTTATTTGACCTGACCTGTGACGTCATCGGTGACCTCGAGGTCAATAAAATTTGGTTTCCCTTGACAACTTTGACAGGGCTATCGAACGCCGTTTGAATTTTGCGGATCCGTCCAGTAGTTTCGGAGATACGAGGGGGGCAAAAAATAGCCCCCCCCCCCCCCCCACCAGGTCGCGTTATAAACAGACCCCACCAGGGCGCGGGTTAAAATGCAATTGATTTCGCTTGTAATACAGCCCCTCACGGTCCTGGCTTTCAGGCGAAAACTGCTTAAAAAACTCACGAAACTCGATGGAAAAAACGAGTGCTATTGGATTATAATGATCCCCTTACCCCCCCCCCCCCCATTTAAGGCGAAATCCGTGTCAAGAAGCCAGTCTCCATGGTAAAACGCACGTGCTATCGGCGTAATATAATCCCTTACTCTTCCAGGCGAGATCCGCGTCAAGAAGCCAGTCTCGATGGAGCTCACAGAAGGAGCTGGCTCGGATCGAGATCCTCGCCGGCTGCCGCACAGCGAACCACTGTCATTTGAAAAGAGCGGCAGTGACCGGGTGGAAGGCAGGATAGAGCTGAAAGTCAAGGTCCATGATGATGGTTAGTGGGACAGTGAGATGAATAAACATTGATAAGTGGGATAATGTGATGCTGGTAGGTGGACTGTTTATTGAAAAAGCAAAATCTAACGTAAAATGAGCACACTGAATATTTGTGGGAATTATAATTTACGTTGCAAATTTGATTTAACAATGCGAGTTGCCTGACATTCCTGCCTTTCCATCTTGCACACAGATGAAATATGTGTACCTAATACTGATTATTTACCCCACCTACACATTGTCAATATTCCAAGTCAGTCCATGTAATCACTATTATAGGTCAAACAAGTGTATCCAGAAATTAAATTATGTGCTACTGTTTTGTGCTATTTTACTACTGCTACTTCCAGGCCGTCAATATTTGTCAATTGCCCACTCAGCAATCCCCGTCACTTCCGTCGCCAGGTGAACCGCAGCTGTTCAGCGAAGTACCAGTACACATCTACAGAAAAGACCGGGTCGAAACCATCATGACGTTTCTAGTGAAACAGGATGTGGACAGCGTCAATCGAAATCTGGTGAGTGGCAAGCGGAACACGTTGGGAATGGGGCGGTAATAGCTGTTTTTACGACGGGCTGTCTGTCAAATGCACCTAATTTGGCTAAGTCTGCACCAAATCTGCAGCTAATCTGTACCAAATGTGTACCAGATTGCCGTCGTAAAGACGGCTAGTTTAGCTCAATAGCCTAGCACTCTAATAATCAATATTGTGTTCATATTTCTTGAAAAACGAAAGCATTTTGCACTCTAAGGCATTATTGAGTTCTTTTTTATTTTTGAATTGTATTTCAGCTGTATTTTTCCAAGTTACTGTAATTGATGGATTTGATCTGTGTTCGCAAAAAAAAAACTAATTCTACATCTACCTACATACACTGTATCTACGTCAGCTCCTGTGCTACTCTATGCACGTCCTAGCGGAATAAAAAAACACTAGTCACGAGTGAATATTCACGTAAATTCACGTGCACCTCTGTTTGCGAAGTGTACGTTAGCAGCTGTTTCTGCTAACACAAGTGTCTGTTCACAGGCGGATGTGGAGAAACAGCTGTCTGTCTTTACTGGAGGTACCGCTGAAATCACCGATATCCAGCCATACAAACAGGACAGCGACCAAAACAGTGGGCAACAAAGGTTAGTGAGGAAGATACAGGGTGACACAAAAAAGCGGTCATCACCAAAATTCAAATAACTTCAGAAGTTTTATTCAAATCATCACCAAACTTCAGCCACTTTAGGTCACACCTATGTAGCAGACATCCACCAAGTTTCAAGTCTTCACTACGAATACTTTTAGTACAGTGTGTGTTTTACTGACGCTCCACAATGTGCTCCAGGTGAGCGCCCCGGCGCTGCAGGGCGTAGGCACACCTGCACCCGGTGGGCAAAGTTGTCGATAACCCGATAAGAATAACGTTTCAGGGGTAGCACACCCCCTGAGCACTGTCTCCAGAGGCCATTGCACTCTGTCAAGTGCACAGCCATCGGGTTATCGACAACTTTGCCCGCCGGATGCAGGTGTGCCTACGCCCTGCAGCGCCGGGGCGCTCACCTGGAGCACATTGTAGAGCGTCAGTAAAACACACACTGTACTAAAAGTATTCGTAGTGAAGACTTGAAACTTGGTGAATGTATGCTACATAGGTGTGACCTAAAGTGGCCGAAGTTTGGTGATGATCTGAATAAAACTTCCGAAGTTATTCGAATTTTGGTGATGACCGCTTTTTTTGTGTCACCCTGTATAAGTGAAATAGTGAGATGAAGAGGATAGGGGAGTGGGGGAAGAATGGAAAAGTGATTAGTTCTTCAAATAGTCAGTAACTTACGAGTAAGCGAGAGTGCGTAAATGGAGGAGAAAGGGATAATCATACATCCCTGGAAGGGAGGGAGGTACAGAGAAACGTAACGATCAATAGAACAGCGCACACCAGAGGACAGTGCTAGAACTGGGGAATTGATAAGGACAAGAGAGAAGCCTGGCAGACGGGGCAGCAATAAGAATAGTGGGCGTGCATTGATGTGAAATTGATCAATTCAAACAGTGACCATATTGGAAGCTTCGCGAGATCTAAAAAAATAGCGAAATTTTTCGGCAAATTTCGTTTAACCTTCGCCCCAGTGGAGGGGGGGGGGGCATATGTTACCACCCTGTCGCGTTTTTTTCGTATAAATAAAAAACCGCGGCGCGTAGAGCCGCGCCGCTTGGGGTAGCTTTTGGTACATCAATTTTGGACAATGTGTGAAATTTTTGACCCCAGGTCATGTCAGGTCAGGTCACTAGGTCAAGTTAACTGACCAAGCCTAAAAAAAGTTTGCAATCATGTCCAACCTGCAGTGTTTGTCAGAGAGGTTTCAAACTTGGTGGATAACATGATGTTATGGGTGCCTCCAATTTGTATATCTCGGATTTTTTATATGCGTGACCTAAGGTCCCAGCCAGCAATTTTGCTCCGGGCCCAAGCAGGCTCAAGTGCGGATTGCCCGAGATTTTTAGTCGGGCTAAAGTCGGCTAGGGCTTGGGCCAGTGGCGCAGCCAGGGGGGGTCAGAGGGTCAGCTGACCCCCCCGAAATTTCTGTCAGGGGCCCGCTCGAGAGAGAGAGAGAGAGAGAGAGAGAGAGAGAGGGGGGAGAGGTCCTAATCTAATCGGACGATCCCGCTTCGAGAAATGCCTACTGGGACACCACGGGTGAGGGCTCGGCCTGGGGCCCCAGGTGGACGGGGCCCGGGCCCCGGGTGGATGGGGCCCAGGCCCCCGGGAGAACGGGCCCGGGCCCCCTGGGTGGATGGGACCCGGGCCCCCTTGGATGGGTACGGGCCCCCGGGTGGATAGGGCCCGGGCCCCGGTGGATGGGGTCCGGCCCCCCCCCCCCCCGTTGGATGGGTCCAGACTCCAGGCCCCCAGGGTGGATGGGGCCCAAGCCCCCGGGAGTACGGACCCCGGGTCCCGAGTGGACGGGGCCCGGACCCCCGGGTGGATAGGGCCCGGGCCCCCGGGAGAACGGGGCCTGGACTCGGAGCCCAGGTGGACGTGGCCCGGGCCCCCGTGGGGATAGGGCCCGGGCCCTCGGGTGAATGGGGCCCGGGCCCCGGGTGGATTGGACCCGGGCCCCCGGGAGAACGGGGCCCGGGCCCCTGGTGGACGGGCCCCGGAGCCCCGGGTGGACGGAGCCCGGGCCCCCGGGAGAACGGGGCCCGAACCCTCGGATGGACGGGGCCCGGGCCCCGGGTGGATGGGGTCGGGGTCCGGGTGGACGGGGCCCGGACCCCCGGGTGGATGGGGTCGGGCCCCGGGTGGACGGGCCCCGGGCCCCGGGTGGATTGGACCCGGGCCCCCGGGAGAACGGGGCCCGGGCCCCTGGTGGACGGGCCCCGGAGCCCCGGGTGGACGGAGCCCGGGCCCCCCGGGAGAACGGGGCCCGAACCCTCGGGTGGACGGGGCCCGGGCCCCGGGTGGATGGGGTCGGGGTCCGGGTGGACGGGGCCCGGACCCCCGGGTGGATTGGATCCGGGCCCCCGGGAGAACGGGTCCCGGGCCCCTGGTGGACGGGCCACGGAGCCCCGGGTGGACGGAGCCCGGGTCCTCGGGTGGACGACGGGGCCCGGAGCCCCGGGTGGACGGAGCCCGGGCCCTCGTGTGGACGGGGACCAGCCCCCTGTGGATGGGGCCCGGGCCCCCCGGGTGGATGGGGCCCGCTAGGGTGACCTTGCTCCGCAACGCGAATAAGGGGTATTTTCGATCGGTGGGCGTTTGGTTGGTCTTGTGTCCGTGACTCCGTGGGTCATGTATCCATTTCGGTCGTTTGTCTTTTGACGGCTAAGCATTTTGGTTTGGGAAAAAACATTCGGGACCTGCTAGAACGTCGTAAAATGTGGCTGCTATAGGGTTTTTGTCGGGGTGCTGATCACGAATATTATGTTAGTTTTGATCACAGATGATGTCTTTATGCATTTAGGCCAGGTCGGGTCAGGTCAGGTCATGTCAGCCAGTAGGGGTCCTGCCGGGTATTCGTAGCATGGGTGAAACTTTGACATCACCATTGGGGTCCCAAACGTCCAAGGGGGCCTCCATTTAGTGGGGGCCTCCAAGCAATTAGGGGCCTCCAATTGCGGAAGCGGTAATTTACGAACGACGCCAGGGCCTCCTCTAAGAAAGTTTCACTGGGGGACCAGTGGCTCAGAAGCCAAACCTAGGGTACCCCCAAATCTAGTATCTCATCGGATTTAGGTCACTTATTTTTCGTCACAGCCCGGATGCTATGATTTGACTTTTTTAAAATATGAACCCTCGCCCTGGCAGGGGGGTTGATGCAACCCCCCTGAAGTTTTTCAAAGATAGCGAAATTTGGCACAGCCTATATGGGGCAGCCTTTTTACATAAGACCTTAAAATTTCAGGTTCGGGTGACCTTGGGTCAGGTCACCAGGTCAGAAAAACCGGTACAAGGTCATGGTCCAATTTGAATTTTCTTTATGCACCTGTCCAACTCACAGTTTTGGACTGATTTCCTTCAAACTTTCAGTATGTGCAAATTCGCCGAGTTGTATAACATATAGTCCGTTTTTTATGTCACTGACCTGAGGTCAGTTAGAGGTCATTACGTCGTAATGTTAAGCCTATGGGAAAATATTCAATTCGGAAAATACTGGAGATATACGCTTCGTTTTATCACTTTTGTGCTTTGAAACCATAGTACTTAAAGGGACCCTCCCACCTTAACATTAGATTTGAGTTGAGATAGCCAAAATGGGGTCCCTGGCTCACAATTACCGGTTTCGGCACTCACAACATCGAGAAATGCCTTAAATCAGAAATATTGAATTTCAAAATTGCAGCATTTTGATTCAGAGGGGCTAATGCTTAGGAATACCCCTCTGAATGTGTGACGTCAGCGCAGATATCTAACGATTTTTAAATGTTTGACTAAAACGTTTTGTAGCACGCGGTGGTATATGCTATTTGCGCGCAACATCTGCCGCAAACGCCGCACTTCTAAAATAAAGTCGCTAGAAACAGCGGAGATCCCAGAAAAGTAAACAAAAGTAAAAGTCTAATATCTTGAAAACCGGTGAATATTTTTCGGTGAAATTTGGTAGATATTCGTTTTCGCTCTTTCTGAACCGAGCGACATCACTTTCATGCCAATTCATAAACTTTTTTGAAGGTGGGAGGGTCCCTTTAACAGCATGTCACTTGGCGCTTCTTTATTTGGTGTACTTATCCATGGGTCAAGTCAGATGAGGTCAACTGAGGTCAAATGACGTTTTTTCCAATAACTTGGCACACAATGACGCTAGCGCTTAACCCTCGCCCTCACATGCCATTTTCCCATCCTAGAACGCACATGGGGGGGGAGGGGTTGCCACTCCCCGCGACATTTCGTTCCTGTTGGAGATAGATCTTCGCGGTAAAGACCAAAAAGATTCTTTGGGAAGAGAGGAACCCAATGATATCCATTTTTACCTTCTCAGGTCAGTCGTTGACCTTCCAGGTCAGGTCAAACTAAAAAGTGTTGCTGTTTTGGGTCACCGTTGGATATCAAGTGCGCTGCTCATCATATACCGATGACGCTGCCGTATTGTGGTGCCAAGCCAGCTAGAACAGAACCTCTTTGTCACACTATCCGACTAGGTTTTTGCTGGCTGTGGTCATTTCATGTCAAGTTAGGTCAAGGTCAATGATATGTGTTTGTATGTCTGTGTGTGTCTGTGTGTACTGTGTATACTGATGTGTGCACCGATTGTGAATGTGTCCCTATAGCATGAGATCATGAACTGGGAAGCTTTTACCAAAAATACAGTCAAAGAAACTTCACGAAAGCAAATTCAGCTTGCCTAAAACGCAATATTTTTAGATGACCTAGGTTGACCTTGACCCTGACCCTGGCATCTCTACATCATCGAACAACATGTTCCATGATAGGTGGGAGGAAAGACTGGCAAAAAAATGCCGAAATCAAGGTGTCAAAAGCTCACAAGACCCATAGCCAACGCAAGATACCTATTGGGTATTTGTCATTTGCCATGACATCACCTGAAGAATAAGGTCACATCTCCGAAACCAAAAACCACAGAAACTTAAAATTTTCAGTGGACGCTAAGGATAGAGAAGCAGCTATACGAAACATCCGGCTTCT